TGACCACCCATACCCATGGTAGCGCCTGTTAGGGTCCCAGCTCTGGCCAAACAGTGAACCCCACAAAATGGTGTCAAGACACTATGAAAGTATAAAAATACATTTTCATAGTAAAAATACCAGCAGTATATTTTCATAGTAAAAAAAATAACAGCAATGAAATTACTAATGCTCCCAAGAAAATTAAATTTCGGCATTAAATGACCCATAAATGGTTGATGTGCCGCTAAGCAAACAAAATAAATACCAGAGTCTGACAGCTGATCTCTCTGACCTAGGTCTCAGAGTAGAGAAAAAACTAGTTTCCATCAATGTGACGCAATGGACACCCACGTACAAAGGAATGATTTATTTACGGGTTATCAATCTTTTACAGATTATTTAAAGGTAGAAATGTGTTAGATTGTAAGAATCTTTTGGAGATAATAATGCTTTATTAATTAACTCCTACCTGGGGAGAGGAGATGTGGATTCATACCTTTCCAATGGTATTTGCTCGTGAGTGACTATAACAAACCCGACTGGAATTGGAACTTGGCTCTCCGATTTCCAATTCTAAGTTGTTACCATTACACCACACACACACACACATCCAATATTACAGTACCTTACATTTACAGTACCTTATATTACAAACGGTTACCCATCTAGGCACTGAGAAAGCTCGACGTTACTTAACTCCGGTAACCGTACGAGTACAGGTGTTTCAACGTGATAAGTCCGTAGAAAGGGAAGATGTTATTTTCTCTCGATATCAAGTTTTTCTGTTTTATTGCCTGTTCTTTTCAAATTTTCTAAGAGGCATCCACTTTGATCGAAGGGGAACGAAAAGTAAAGGTGTGGATATGGGCTTGAACAAACTTAGATCATTAATCTGAGAGCTCAGTAAGAAACGAATTCAGTATACGTATGGAGTGGTCTTGGTGACTAATGCACTGCTCGCTTCGGACAAGTTAACTTTTGTGACACTATCAACATTATCGTGTAGCGGGTAGGTGAGATTTTATTTTAATCACAAGTCTTCCTGTTTTATGGTTAGCAGATTTTTAAAGTCTAATCTTTTAGGCGGCATTTAGTTTAACCGAAGGGGAACGGAAGAGTAAATGAGTGGATGAAGGCTTTTAAATTTCAATAGAAAACAAACCATTGATTATTTCTGGGTGCTGGCCTACATTAGCAGTCATGCTTTGGATCAAGGAGTCTGTTCTGGTCCGCCATTGGTGAACAACAGACTTGAACGCCACGAGGTTCAGATGCCATTCGTTCGTATTTCCAGCCGCACGTCGGGATGTGTAGATGGGTTACGAGTTAGTCGGGTGAAGAGGTGATCAATCAGATCGACATAGCAGACGTTTTTCCATGTGTCACCTACCTATCCACCCAGCCGAAAGCCTGAATAAAGCGTCTAAATATAATATTGAAAAGAGGGTCCGAGTTCTCCTTTCTTGACGCAGTTCTTGTTTTTCAGCTCCATTATCTTACGACCTTGACGCTGGCTCTTCCCAGGTTTTGATGCACACCAACATGAATTAGAACGGAACGCAATGTGGGGAAAAAACCATCGGTCTGTCTGTGGAAAGCTTGAGCGAGAGTCACGCCGTATTGAGGTCATTTCATAACCTCAAAAAAAGAAGTTAAGCAGCGTCGAGCCTGATCAGTACCAAGATGGGTGACCGTTTGAGAATACCAGATCCTGTAAGCTTGGACGTGCGGGGGATGTAATGGATAATATCTTGGAATTGTTAATCGTAGATCCTAGTTCCAATTCTAGTCGGGTTTGTATTTCCTTATGCGCGAATATCTTTGTGAAAGGTATGGAACCACCACTTCTACCCCAAATATGAATTAATTAGTAAGACTTGTATCATTAAACCATTATTATCCCTCCCCCCAAAAAATTCTTCCGCTCTAAATATATTTTCTGGTTTTAAATAATCTGCAAAGGTTTGATAAGTCGTAGCAAATCAATTGATCGATCCATCGCTAAAGATGAAGAGAAAATGACCCATTCCTTGTTCCACTTCAGAAAGAATCCTACTCCGGCTTTACAAGAGTCAGGATAGACCAAAAATGGAATATTACTGCCATATTTTTACTGTGGCTGCATAATCTTTCCAGCTTTGATAGAGTTCAAATGTTTTTGCGATTTTGTAGGTTGTTAAATATTTTCCCTATACAGCTCCTTTCTTCTCGACGAAATTTTGCTAGACTCTAGAACTCTATCTCAATTTCCATGGCAAATCTTCAGACGAGCGACATTCCACCAATTCAAACCTTCACTGCTAGAAACCAACATGCCATGTACACCTTCTTCCCTTTGTATTCCATTTGTAAGGAAGACGTTCCACACCGGCAGCTTCTTGCACAAAACATTTACTTTGAGAGGATACTTCCCCGATCTACATGATCTTAATCTCTTCAAGTCTAATGCATACATACCTTCATAATACGTCTTACTTTCTCTCTTTAAGCTCTTGCAACAACCTCGTTCAGTAACCCT